ATGCCAAGTTCATGGTTGGAATATACATAGGTGAGTAAGGGGTACCTCGCTGGCTCAGTAGGTTGTGTCCAGCTCTTGGTTTCAGCTCAGGTCATGATCTCAAGGGTTGTGAGACTGAGGCATCCCTTAAAATTTATTTTAATAAATAAGATAAATTTATTTATAAATAAATATAAACAACTAAATGTGGTTAAGACCAGTATGACCTGAGCAAGGAATAAGGGGGAGAGTGGCTGGAGATGAAGTCAGGATGGATCATGCCAGTCAGGCTAGACATTTTGAGTTTTACTCCAGGTGGAATAGAAGCCACAGAAGGGTTTTATAGAGAGGTGGTGGATGATCTGGTTGATGTTTTAAAGGACTGCTCCAGCCCCCTTGTTGGAAATTGATTGCAGGAGATTTGGGATGCAAGCAGAGAACAGTTAGGTGGCTGTTGCAGTCAGCCAGGCAAATGACAATGGTAAGCCTCAATCAGATTTTGCCTTATTGGTAGTACTTTAATTCACTGATTTGTTGATGGTTTGGATGTGGCATGGAAAAAGAAAGGGATTAAAACAACGTAAAGATTTTCGACTTGAGTATCTTAAAGGATGAAGTTGCCAGTTTGTGGGATGGGGGCAAATTTTACTAGGAGTAGGTTAGGAAGATGCAGTTTTGGTTGGGACATGTAAAGTTTGAGATCCAGTTGGGCATAGTAGGACTCTGGAGCTCAAGATGAGTCTGTGCTAGGAACTGGCAAGTCCTCGGCTTAAAGATGCATCCATGGGGTGCCTGGGTGGCTCAGTCAGTTAAGCATCCAATGTTGGTTTCAGCTCAGGTCACAATCTCATGGGTGATGAGATTGAGCCCTGTGTCAGGCGTCAGGTTTCCCACATAGCTTCTCTCCCTCTGCCTCTCCCTCAACTCATATTCTCTCTCTCTCTGTCCCTCCTTCCATTGCTCTGTTTCTAAAGTAAATAAATCTTAAAAAAAAAAAAAAAGATGCATCCGCAACTGAGGGTTAACGTAAATGAAGAGAAGAAGCGGTCTAAGGGCCAAGTCTGAGGCTGGGTGATGAGGGCAAAGCAGCAAATGAGAATGAGAAGCAACAGCTATTGCAAGTAGGGTTTCTGGAAACCTAGTGAAAGAGGAAGCAAATGACTCTTTGGCATGTGCTGACCATAGGTCATGTGAATGCACTCTTTGCTTAGCAATACGGAGGTCATTGGTGAGCTTACAAAAGTCAGTTCAATGGGTGGTAGGTATGAAAGCCTGTCTGGGGTGCAGGGGTGCCTGGGTGGCTCAGTGGTTGAACGTCTGCCTTTGGCTGGGGTCATGATCCCAGGGTCCTGGGATCAAGTCCCACATCAGGATCCTGGCAGAGTGCCTGCTTCTCCCTCTGCCTGTGTCTCTGCCTCTCTCTCTCTCTGTCTCTCATGGATAAATACATAAAATCTTAAAAAAACAAAATACAAAAACAAAAAAACAAGCCTGCCTGTAATTAAGCTCTAGAGAGAAGGAAGACACATAGTTAGACAGTAGGTATAGTCAACCCACTCAAGGAGTTTTGCTGGAAGAAGTAGTGGAGAAGTGGAGCTGGTGCTGTATATATTTATGAAGTGCCTGCTGTCTGCCAGGGCATATGGTGGTAAAAGCATAATCACCATCCTCAGGAGCCACAGGCTGGTGGCTCACCCCTTCTAAGACTGACTTTCCAGTCTTATTTAGTTCATCCTTGTTAGTATTCTTTCAATAATAAAATCCTAGAGACCTCATATATTACTAGTCCTCTTTCCAACAGGTCTTTTCTGGAAATGCTTTAACAGAGACAGCATGTTTTATTTTTATCTACTTAGCCGAGGTCCCCTTTGGAATTAACTCCTCATTCAAATCATTGTTAAAGAAGAGCATTGGATCACAAGTACTAGATCTTTTCTTAATGGATTCCGTATGTTCATAAGTCATAGAATGTTTTATTTAGTGTGTAACTCAGAGGGCTCACTCCATCTATCTAGCCTCATTGGGTAACATCGTCCCTGGCATGTAGATAGCTCAGTGAATGTTTGTCAAATTCAATAGTTCTTTCAATTTCTTCATCCACTTATGGATTTTATTGTGTGCATATTACCTGTCTGTTACACTATTTTATGGACATAGCAATGAACAAGGCTCACATAGAGTTTAAATTCTAAGGAAAAGGAGTCAATAAACAGGTGAATGAATAATCAAAACAGATTCCCAGGACCAAGTTAGAGGGATTTAAGGGCCACCCTCATAACAGAATTGCTTTTGGCTCTCCTATAAGCCACAACAAAATTGTCTCAAATGGATATTAAGGTTTTTCCCATTTTATGTAAGTGTAAAAAAAGCTTTCTATGAAAGGTAGAATAATGGCCCCCAAATATGTCCATGTCCTGATTCCTGGAGCCTTACATTGTAAAAGGGATTTTGCAGTTGTGATTATGGTAAGGCCTTTGAGACAGGGAGAGTGTCTTGGGTTGCCCAAGTGGGCCCAGTGTCATCACAAGGCCCTTATGAAGCGGAAGTAGCAGGATTAGAGTCAGAAGGAGGTGAGGCAACATAAAGACAGATTGTAGCCAAGGAATGTGGGCAGCCTCTGGAAACTGGAAAAAAGAAGGAACAGATTTTTCCCTAGACCCTCCAGAAGGAATACAAACCTGTCCACAAAGACCCATTTTTAGATATCTGACCTCCCTAACTGAAAGACAATAAAATTGTACTGGTTTAAGCCACTAGATTTGTGATAATATGTTACACTAGCAATAGGAAACTATATATAGGAATAGAGATATGTAGCAGTTGGAAACTGCGTACACACATTCTTGGAAAGCTGCTATTTTTACTAATCTGTAGCGATATGGTAAAATAGTGCATTTCCTATAAATTCAGATTCTCTGGCCTCTCTTCCCAATCCAATTGCAGTCTCTCAGCCTAGCTTCACAGAAATTCTGGAGTTGTCTCCCATTATTACAGATGATGGCATGCACTTTGAAATAAATGTAATAGTGTGAGGCAATTGCAAGTGACTCAGTGCCCAGGGAAGACTTCTTTGAGAAAATGACATGTGAGCTGCTGTTGAAATCTAAGAAGGAGCCAGCAGTATTTCAAGTGGAGATAATGCTCAGGACAGAGGTCCTGAAGTGAGTTAACCTGGTCTGTTGAAGAATAGATGGAGTATTACAAGCAAAAGACAAAATGGTGGTAGATGTCAAAGAAGTAAGCAAAGGCCTCTTATGTAGGGTGTGGCAGGTAACAGAAGGGTTCAGATATTCTCAGTGTGAGGAATAGCCATTAGAGGGCTTGAAAGAACAGAATGATTGGAGCTTGCTTACATTTTGCACTTTTGGCTGCTCGGTAGAGAATGGTTTCTGGAGGGAAGGAAGGAAGACCAGTTTTGCGGTAGTACAGGTAAGAGAGTTCATAGTGGCTTGAACTAGCGTGGGGGCAAGAGGTGTGGACACATTCAGGATACATGTTAAAGCAGAGCTGATAAGATGTGAGAGGTTTGAAGGAAAAAGAGAAGAATCAAGGATGACTCCTAGGACTTTGGAGAAACTGTGTGCATGAGGTGGACTCTAATGTCAGGAAGATTGAAGAGCTCAAAGAAGTGAGTAAATAGGTTATGCCAGTTTTGAAATCAGTAAGCATTTAGGTTTTGAATAATGTAGATTGTCCTGAGTATTTGAAAATCCTACGTGATGAATAGCACAGTTTTATATAATGAATTAGAACATAGGAAAATCCAATCATTGAGTTGGAAAGAGATTTAAAGAATTATTTAAGACTATGACTTATTGTAATAAGGGCACCTCCAAACCATTCCTTAAAAAAAAAAAGTAAGACCTTTGCATAAAAAAAAAAATCCCAGAGGAGAATATTTTATGTTTTGAGTCATCATTTTACTACATTTATAATCAGGAAAGTCTTCATAATCTCTAATCTTCACTTTATAAATTAAAAGCACTTTCTTCTTTCCTCTATGTAAAGTGAAATAATGAATAATTCTCTAAAATCTCCCCTCCGGAGGGATGCCTGGGTGGCTCAGTGGTTGAGCATCTGTCTTCAGCTCAAGGCGTGATCCTGGGATCCATTGCCGCATCAGGCTCTCTGCAAGGAGCCTGCTTCTCCCTCTGCCTGTGTCTCTGCCTCTCTCTGTGTGTCTCAAGAATAAATAAAATTTTTAAGAAATAAAATTTAATAAATAAAATCTCCTCATGGAGTTGAAATTGTTATGAAAATTTACTCTAATTTACAAACAATTAATATTGTAAACATTTGTATGCACCTATACATTCTGATATTTCTTGGAAGTAGGTTAATACTGGGGAATTTTATTATAGGCAAAAATTAGAGTGGTAGGTTTCTTGAAGAGAGCCTTTAATTCTAAGTAATTTAGCAACTGAAGAAAGATGTGATTTAATTCTTTAACATGAAAACTAAATAATTGGGTTCCATTTTTAGAAAGATATATAGGTATCAGCTTGATTTTCCTCCCACTGAATCTTTTAAAAGCTTGGTAAGTTATTTTAGGTTGATGCTTCAATTCCAAGTTTAACTCTGCAGACTTTTGCAAGTTGTCTCTATATACTTATTGATTAAAATCTGAAAATATGGTCACTGGATTTCAGATGGATTGGCCATATCTAAACTGTTTTGAATGATAGATTACTCACACTCTGTGTTTGAAATGGTGATGTGTTTCAAAGTAATATTCAATTCTTTTTAAAAATCATCTTAATTTTGGAAATTTATTATTGGAGTAAAAAGTGTTATTTTGTCGGACTTTTAGTAAATCAGTATTGACAAATTCTCTCTCTGTTTCTATCTCTGTGCCCCTCCCTCTTTCTTCTCTCTCCCTCCTTCCTTTCCTCTCTCTCACTCTATCTCTCCACACCTCTTCTCTCCCTTTCTCTCTCCTTCTCTGTGTCCCTCTCTGGCCCTCCCTCTCTCTCTCAACCCCTCCCTGGCCCTTCTCCCACCCTGCCCCTACTCCATGGCAGATGGTCCGCGAACAGTACACTACAACCACAGAAGGTACCCACATACAGAGGCCAGAGAACCAGTGTGTCTACAAAATTGGCATTTATGGCTGGAGAAAGCGTTGCCTATACTTATTTGTTCTTCTTCTACTCATCATCCTCCTTGTGAATTTTGCTCTTACGATTTGGATTCTTAAAGTGATGTGGTTTTCCCCAGTAAGTAGCTTCCTTTCCTGGTAAGCATGTTTTTGCTTGTTGTATCACGTCATCCATATTGTATTGGTAGAAACCTCTTTTAATGTAATTAATGTTTGTTTTCTGTCCAGATCAAAACAATCAGTAGCAAAATAGTCATACATTTATTTTTTCTCAATTTCACTATGAACTATAGGGTGTTGGGTTTTTTTTTTTTTTTTTTTTTTTTTGCTTTTTTATTGCAATTTTTTTATGTTAGTCATTACCTCTGCATGTGGGAAAATTGTAACCATCTTGAGTTTGGGGTTGACTGCATCAAAATTGAGTAATGACTATTTAATCAATTAATTTGTAAAATTCTATAAATTATGTTTTCCTAATCTCATTAATCCACTAATACTAACTGCCTAGATGCTTTCTCATTTTTTAAAAATTCACTTTAATATACAATAAATTCATGTCCATGCTTCAACATTTAACAAAAGATTTAGTAGATAAAATACTAGTAGTCAAAAGGAATTCATAGTCTGTTTTAAACATCCTCATGTTTTCAGGATGGCTGGGTAATTTTATATGCTCTGATAATATTTTGTATACTTTTTGAAAAAATATATTCATTTAATATAAAAATGTCCTAATTTTGCTAGATAGTCATAGTGAGAAAAATAGCACATGTACATCACAGGTAGGTTAATCTGTTCCTTCCTTGCATCTTGAAGATGTGATATAGGTACAGGCTCTTTTCAAGAACAATAGTTGTAGCAATCAGTCTGAAATGCCTTCCTTTGATGAGTCTCCTTCACTCTTTTTTTTTTTTTTAAGATTTTATTAATTTATTCATGAGAAACACAGAGAGAGAGGCAGAGACACAGGCAGAGGGAGGAGAAGCAGGCTCCATACAAGGAGCCTGATGTGGCACTCGATCCCAGGAATCCGGGATCACACCCTGAGCCAAAGGCAGATGCTCGACTGCTGAACCACCCAGGCATCCCATCTCCTTCACTTTCTATGCAAGTATTTCTTTTCTGCCATTGCTCGATAGCCAGTAGGTACATTATTTATTTTGTTGACATAAATATTTTCCGATATTCAAAGAGGTAAAAAACCAATCAAGTCAAAATATACCTTAAAAGGTGTTACTTAATATAATATAAACATGTTATAAATTGATATTATAAATTATATTTAAATACTATAAATTTATGTATTTATGCTATAAATACATAAGTATATTTAAATTAGCCAAATGGAAGTTGTGCTTTCTTCTTTAAAATTTACAAAAAAAAAGTTTTTACAGTATCACAATAATATTTGGACACCTTTGCTTAAGTAGCACAGCATATGCTATGCACATGCTGTATATCATCCTCATTTTATCTCTGAATTTAAAATATTTTAATATTTTTTGGAGAGTGAACTGAGATTGAAGTCCTCAAATTATAAACTATAGGATCTATCAGAAATGCTTCCTGACTAAAGAGCCCTGCACCCACCACCATGTGCTCCTCAGTTATGCAGAATGTGGAGAGAAAATTTACTAGGAAAAAGACTTTTAGAAGGGCCTGGGGAAAAGAAGCCACCCCATGGCTCTGGAAGTGCAGAGGATGGTCAGATTTTAATAGTCTCTCACCAGGGACCATGGATGGGTTCTATCAATCACCTGGCCATCTTGGCACATGATTGGGCATTCAGTAACTATATCTTGAATGAATGCAGTTGTGTATTATATTAGAAGTATATGTGAATTAATTTTACAAACCATATGTGAACATAAAGTGATAGTGTACTTGCTTTTTGCTCTTGTCTTATATCGTAGCCCTGAAACAAGTTTTGGATATTATAAATTTTGATTACATTAAATGAAATTGTGCCAAGCAGCTGAGTCCACTTCAACCTAGGATAGCACATCACAGAGACCAGCACATGTTTTCCTGCCATTGCTGCCCTTTGTCATACCCTGTGCTTTCTAGTTTGAGACAAGGTTAGCTCGTGTGGTATTTCCTTCAACACTAGGAAACTGTTGCTAATTCGGGGTTCTTTAGTGGCATCTTTCAACAAAATAGGATGAACAGACACCTATATTCATGGATCAAAAGGGAAGACCCATAAAAAGATTATTCTGCAAAGTGCCAAGGGTTGATTAAAAAATGGTGGGTTGACTTTGGGTCATTCTCAAAAGGAGATAACATAAATGATGCAATTCTTGTATGTGTGTGAGGTTGATCCCTTGCTTTGGGAACATTCCATGCATTGTAATGCTGGACATTGTACATTCATTTATGCTCTGATTTTTTTCCTAGTTTTAAAGATCTCACTGTATATAGTAATTTAGTTTTGTTTTTATTTTATTCATATATAAACCAGTATCCTTTCTCGATTACATACATGCCAAGGAAGCAACATGACTATAAAAGAAACTTTGAAGAGCTTTGGCACTGAAATGATAAAGTCAGGGCTCTCAACATTTGCACAGAGTGATAGAATTTTGAACATGTAACAGCTAATATATAATTCTCTCCCCAAATTCAGTATAATAACCTATCTATAACCTATATAGTCATTAGTCAAGATAGACTGAAAACTATAATTTCCCAAATTAACAAAGTTTAAAAGACTTTCTCTGCTTAGATCCCCAACATATAGCAATGGCAGGTTTATTAACTTAGACATACTATCATTTCAGTCCTCCTGTTCCCCTCATCGTATACTTTAATATTTTACTATAGAAAACAGTAAAGCCAACCACCAGTATCATGAGTATCTCCCAAGCACAGTTCCAGTCTTAGAACTGCAACTTCATGTAACAGAATTTTACATAATTTCTATGTATGACATCTGTTGAACATAAAGTAATATTTAGGAAATTGTAACAACTGATGCCAAACATAAACTTTCTAGAATATTCTGTGTTGATCATCATAATAGCTAAATCAATTATTCAGGAAAGTGGACGTTAAAAGAACCAGTGCAATAAAGTGGCTCATTCTGTTTTTCCTTTTTATATTTTCCTTCTGTAAAACTAATATCCAAAACTAGTTTTGGTTAAAGTGTTCATGGTTATTAAATAGTATCCATGATTCTCATCAGTAAGTATATTAAAACAAGGCATTTTTAATTTTTAATGACCCAGATAGATTTTTTAAAAGATTTATGGTTATTTACTTACTTGCATATAAAATATTTTGGCTATTGTAAATAATGTTAAAATAAACATAGAGGTGCATATATCTTTTCAAATTAGTATTTTCATTTTCTTTGGGTAAATATTCAGTAGTGGAATTACTAGATTGTATGGTAGTTCTATTTTTAATTTTTTGAGGCGCCTCCATACTGTTTTCCACAGCAGCTATACCAATTTACATTCCACCAACAGTGCATGAGGGTTCCTTTTTTTCCACACCCTTACCAACATCTGTTGTTTCTTGTGTTGTTGATATGAGCCATGCTGACAGGTGTGAGGTGATATATCATTTTGGTTTTGATTTGCATTTCTCTGATAACGAGTGATGTTGAGCATCTTTTCATATACCTATATGTCGTCTTCTTTGAAAAAAATTCTGTTCATGTCTATGGCCTATTTTATAATAGGATTATTTGTTTTTACAGTGTTGAGTTGTATAAGCTCTTGGGTATTGACTCCTTATTGGATATGTCATTTATAGATATCTTCTTCCATTCAGTGGGTTGTCTTTTTGGTTTGTTGATGATTTCCTTCAATGAGCAAAAACTTTTTATTTTTATGTAGTCCCAATAGTTTAATTTTGCTTTTGTTTCCCTTTCCTCAGGAGACATATCTAGAAAAATGGTTCTATGATTGATGTCAAGGAGATTACTGAGTGAGTAGCAGTTTTAATAAGCAAAGAAAACTTCATATGAAGCTCGTTCATCTTGAGTGGCAGCAAGATGAGTAGGTCCCCGCATCTGCCTGCCAGATCTTAAAAGTTTATATAGAGACCTTAACTAGGTTCAGATATATATGTTCCTTTACTATGGCAATAGACAATGTTGTTCCTTTTAGGAGGTCAAAAACCTTGAACACATTCATCCTTAACAAGGATTTAAAAATAATTCACTTTGGAAACCAGACATTGGAAATCTTCTATCAAGAACTTCCGCATTAAGAAATTTTTATTTAGTGAGAAAATAAAGCCCTAGAAGACTGCCTCTCTGCATGCTTCCTTAGATCAATGTTTTCCTCATTGAGGAGTCAGAGACCATTCATAGGAAGACAGAAAAATAGTATTAGATGGCATATCACTGACTTTTATCTCAGCCCTGTGATTATATAATCATTTGAAGGGGATTTTTAAAAACTCAGGAAAGAATTCTGATATACAAATGACTATAGGCTGTCTTTGAATGCACACTGGTCATGTAAGGTTATTAAAATATAACCTTTGTCATGATATTTTTTAAAGATTTTATTTATTTATTCATGAGACAGAGAGAGAGAGAGAGAGGCAGAGACACAGACAAAGGGAGAAGCAGGCTCCATGCAGAGTCTGACGTGGGACTCGATCCCAGGTCTCCAGAATCACGCCCTGGGCTGAAGGTGGCACTAAACTGCTGAGCCACTGGGGCTGCCCCTGTCATGATATTTTTTAACACCTCCATTTATTAACACATTGTTATCCCCATGATCTTTATTTTCTTCATCTTTAAAATACTTGATTTATAACTGATGACACCCTAGTCCTTCCTAATGTAAAATTTGACGCTAATATGCTTTACCGATGGGTTTTCAGTAAGTGCTGTTGTCTTATTTTGGAGGATCAAGATTCATGATCTTGGTTTCCTTGCTTTGGATATGTCATGAATGTGGTATGTGGCATGCTAGCTCCATGGTCATCTAGACCATGTTATGAAAAGTTAATGAAGACAATCATTTAATGCCTCTATATTATTAAATATCTTTATTTTACTTTTCTTTAACTACCTGGTTTATGTTTGTGGTAGGCAGAATTTTAGGAAGGTTCCAATGACTGCCAGTCCTGGTGTTATGCTCTGTGTAATCCCCTCTC